TGTTAAGATACAGCCTGTTGTGCCTTCAAATGGCTTCTACTGTACTGCCATAAAATGGCTTCTACTGTACAGCACAGTGGAGTTGCCATGGTAACGGCTTCACTGTACTCCACAAGGGGACTTCCTCTGGTAAGGGGGGAAAACCCAACATTAGAAATTACGTTTGGGCTGGACAATTTCCCCCTATAGATAAATACCTAGCCAATGCCGGGTTATCGGCTAGTTACATATATTAACGAGTTTATTGTCCATGTAAACTGGGTCCCGTCTAACAAGGACTCTAGTCAGGTAGACTTACCTCTGCAGAGAGCTTCTGCTTTGTCTCGTATAAAGAGCGGCAGATCGCCAGAATCTCATCTCCCACACTTTTCTTTTGCTCCTGTAGGCACTTCGTAAGCATCATTGTTCCCAGTTTAACCCAAAGATTATTACTTGAACATGTTCTAAAATAAAGGAAAAGAAGTTTTCTTGTGAGCAGTAAAAGCAATCCGATCTCTATTGTGCGTTATCTACCTACATGTACTTTCAAATAGTGAATTTTTGACAACATTTATTGAATGCGAATGCTTTGTGTAACTTTTACAATAAACGCAGATGAACTGCTTTTAAAGTGCATGTAGTCCGTGACTTTTTAGAAACAAATATGCAAAAAAAAATTAAAAAGATTAACAGAACAAATTATTTTAATTAAAAAAAAAAACAACTTGTGGCCAAGAGAGACGGAACTTTATTAGGAGCAAGCTGCTTCTTAGGGTAGACAGAATAAGCATATGTCATGAAGGTTGATATGTGTTTTCTGTAATATTAAATAAAATGTGATAATAGAATAAAAACTGAGATCAGAAGCAAATAAGATTTGAGATTTAATTTTTTTAAAAAATAATCAGATAAATATTTGTTAATCATTTTAAAAGTTAGTAATAAGAGAGGCATGGTGGCTCAGTGGCTTAATGACGCCGGAGATGATCCAGTGGTTTGAGCCCAAGTATCATCATGGCCACCATCATCGTCATGATGACAGGGGGAGCTCCTGCCATTTGCCTCAGCTTCTGTCCATCCTACAGTTTGAGAGCATGTTCTATGCAAGAAGCAAATAGCACTTAGACTTATAAACCACTTCACAGTGCTTGACAGCCTTCTCTAAACGGTTTTACAGAGTCAGCATATTGTCCCCAACAATCTTGGTCTTCATTTTACCGACCTTGGAAGGATGGGTCAACCTTGAGCCGCTCAGAATCGAAGCTCCTGGAATGAGCAATGAGTTAATCTGCAGTACTGCATTCTAATCACTGTGCCACCAGGTAGAGTGATAGATAGGCACCACTTAAGTGGGGAGATGAACTGGTGCTCCGTGCAGGCAGTTAGGTTCCTGATGGTTGTGAATTTGGCTGGTTGTGGTGCCCACTTGTGAGTCAGTTATGGGAAGGGAGAAGGCCTTGGGTGCCACTCATCTTTCTCTCTGGTGTGAAACCAGCTCGTTCTCCTATGGTGCATTTCGTGCAGTGCATGTGTTCTATAACAGGTCTTGGTCAACGGTATTGAGTTTAGGCACAATTATCGCACTTGATATATCTGTATACTGTGGCATACGGATATACCACAGGTAGTGTCCATTATAGTAAAATTCACAAGGTAAAAATGTAATAATACTCATAAATTATAAATTTGCCACAACTAGGTTTACCCACCAATGCTCTCCTCAAAAATAAATTAATGTAAGAATCCATAAAATTTATCTATTCTATAGAGTTAAAGCTTAACATTTTGTTCATTTTCTGCCTCTCACATTCCACATCCATTTGTCTATAGATCCACCTAGGGATCTATAGGGCTTTGAATTTCAGACATGTGACTATTATTGGAAATTAAGAATGAAGTTGCAATTTTTCTTCTGGATCAAGATTAATGGAGTGATGAAGAGGGAGAATCATAGGTGGCATTAAACATTCTTATTTTTTCTCTTTAATTGGATTGTGAACTATTAATTAATAAACTAAAACAGCTTACATTAGGAAAATGCTATTCTAATTATTTGAAAAGGACTAATTTTAATACAAGCACCTAACTTATTAAAGCTATGAAACATATAAGAAGTTGTGACATTTCACAGGGGTGGGATTCAAATAATTTAACAACCGGTTCTCTGTCCTAATGACCAGCTGGGTAGGCGTGGCTCTGTGGTCATGTGACCATGTGGGCGTGGGCAACTCAATGTCACTCAGGTCGATGGGCACTTCGCCTTTGCTGTTACAATGTAATAAGGGTTAACGGGAAAGGCAGTTTCTGTAAGCA